CCATTCAACATATTTTAAGGATCCAATGAATTATTTTTATTTTCGTTAGATTTATTTTTTTTAAAATAATTAAAAAAACTATTTTTTTTTTGAAAAAAAAATCTGTTTTTTGTTCTTCGAAAAAATCGATTTTTTTTTTTCAGAATAAAAATCTGATTTGTTTTTCGAAAAATAAAATAATTTTTTTTCTTGAAAAAAATCGTTTTTTTAGAATAAAAAACTGATTTGTTTTTCGAAAAAAAATCGACTTTTTTTTTGGAAAAAAAGTCAGTTTTTTTTTCAGGATAAAAAACTGATTTGTTTTTCGAAAAAAAAAAATAAAAATTTTTCTCAAAAAATACCGACTTTTTTTGGGAAAAAAATCGTTTTTTTTTCAGAATAAAAAACTGATTTGTTTTTCGAAAATAAAATAAAATTTTTTTCTCGAAAAAAAATCGATTTTTTTTCCGAAAAAACCGACTTCTTTTTTTGGAAAAAAAAATCGATATTTTTCAAAAATTAAAATATCAATTTTTTTTGAAAATACAAAAAATTCAGTTTTTTTAATAAATATATTAAAAAATATTTTTTTTTAAATACAAAAATGTATTTTTCAAAAATAAAATAAAATTAATTTTTTAAAAATAATAAATATATTTATTTTTACGAAATAAAAAAAAAGTTGGATGGATAGATATCCATCCATTAAAAATATGTTAATTGATGAATTGGATGGATTTAATTCTTAATGGATGGATTGGATTGGATAATTTTAAGAAAATTTTGGTGGATTGTTAATGGACTAATGGATTGTTTTAATCCATCCATTAACAATCCAATCCATATCCATCCAATCCATCAATTTTGCCACCCCTACATGAAACTAACAATGACTTTTTAAATGTAATTGGTAGATTATTTTGTATTAATAGTTTCACATAGTCTTTTTTAATATATATATATATATATATATATATATATATATATATATATATATATATATATATATATATATATATATATATATATATATATATATATATATATATATATATATATATATATATATATATATATATATATATATATATATATATATATATATATATATATATATATATATATATATATATATATATATATATATATATATATATATATATATATATAATGAATATAAGATAATTACTTTTTTAATCTCTATTTTAAAAAATTAAGTCCGCCTCCTTTGTCTATTAAAATTATATCGATATCACTTTGTAAACACTAATCATCTATATGTAAAAAATTATCTATTTAAAAAAAATTACTCTTACCTTCTTTAAGATCTATTAAAATAATATCAACATTCCCTTTATAAACCTTAATTATCTATGAAATCTATTAAAATTGATCCGAACATAAATAAAAATGGATGATATGTTTTTATAAAAAAGACATAAGAAAATCTCCTTTTCCTTCTCTCAATGATCAATAAGTGTCTTTAAAATAGACTTGCCATAATTTCCATTCTATTCTATGTTCTCTACTCTATTCTCTTCCCTTACTTACATTTCATTTCTCTACCTTAACTAACACAAATTTTCTCACCATTTTTCCAACCATGTTCACTTATAGAACCTCATCAAACACCCCACTCAAAGGACGTGATAATCATCACAATCAAACTCAAATTAATTTATCTCTTCTTTAATAGAACACGTCGGTTTATGGCGATAAAAGAAGAAGAAAAAAGCAAGTAGATGCTGGTAGGTTTCTTGGTGTAAGGAGAAGAACTTAAGGGTGAATATACAGGTGAAATCAGAGATCTTAAAACCAAAGAAAGACATCAGGGAATATTTGATACTTCTTGTTCTGGCCTGAGCCCAATCTCGTGTTCCAGCCCAATAACGCGCAAGACCCAATAAGTAGAGCAGTTTGACCGGGCGCACAGCCCCCACAAGACGGACAGGATACGCTCCCTGCCAAGCCGGACGGCGTGCTTCTAATTGTCCTCGGCGCTCCCCTTAGTCGGACAGGACGACCTCCACGGACAGAATCCCCCGACCAACGGGCAATCTACGAAAACTTTACAAAATTCTTCCTAATTAAATGAGATTCACTTTCTATTTATATTTTTTGAAAAAATTGAGAGATAGGTTAAACATGTCAAACTTTTATTTTTGCTAGTAGTATAATTATCCAATTTTTTGTGATATAATTTACAAAAATATTAATTATTAAACAAAAAATATAAAAATATAATTTAATAAAAGTAATGTAAATAAAACTATATTTATTGTTTCATGAAAACATATTTAATTGTATTAATAATTTAATTGTTTTATAAAAGCAATGTAAATATATTTAATTTATGATATATTTTATAAAATTATATTTATTGTTTCATAAATTTTTTATCAAATAAAATATAAAAAAAACATAATTAAATACTAAAAATAAAAAACATAAAAACATAATTTTCGCAAACCCTAAAAAAAAATTAAAATGGGCCAAGTCGCCATTTCAATAGGTGAAATTGAAAAAAACAAAAAAAACCAAACGACCCAACTCGCCATTTCGATTCACGACTTAGTTCATCTTGAGGGTACAGTCGCCACCTCATTTGGCGACACAAGGTACAATTCTAATCACTTTTATAATTTTTTTAATTTTTTATTTATTTGATATATTATTTGAAAATACTTGTTATTTAAATAAAAATTCCAAATTATTCATACAAATATTATCATAATATTTCAAAATTAACCTCATAAATCAATATGTGCAATATAACCAATTTAGTTGATATTAATTTTATAATTATTAGTGATGATATAGACGTGTATAAAAACAAAATTAATGATGATATTAATTTTTTAGTGATGATATTAATTTTTTAGTTTAACAATTAGTGATGATGATATAGACGTGTATAAAAACAAAATTAATTTGATTTGTAATTGATTTAATAATAAATTTTATGATTTGATTGTTACTATAAATATTCTTCGTTAATAAATAAATATTGAAAATTAATTATGATGAGTTAGAAATAAGTCTAACCCTAAAAAGTGTAAATAGGGTTGGAAATGAGTCGAGTCGAGTCGAACTCACCTTAACTCAGTTCGACTCGTTAAGAATTGGTTCGAGTTCGAGTTCGACACAAACTCTTTTTTAAGCTCAAACTTTACTCGTTAGAAGTTCACGAACAGTTCGGCTCAACTCGTTAGGTTCATCTCATTAGGTTCAGCTCACATGATTCACAAACTTAAAAACTATTTTTTTAAATATATATATTTTTTATATATTTAACATTTGAAATAAATATATATTTTTAAAATAAAATATTAAAATAAAATAAAAGTTATCATATTGAAATTTAACTTTATCTTCGAAATCTAATAATTCAAAACCTATACAAATTTCAAGAGATACATTTGAGAGTCTAATTCAAAAACTAAATTGAAGATTAAATTTGTCTAAGTTTTGAAGTAAATATTTAAACCTAATCTTAAAGACAGTATAATTCTTCTTATATGTAATCGAGTTGACTCATGAACCTAACGAGTCGAACTATGTATAGTTCAAGTTCATCTCATTTAGTTAACGAACTTAATTTTTCGCTCATACTCAACTCATTTGGTTCATAAACCTAGTTCAACGATTTAATTGTTAAATCGAGTTACGAACTATTTTCGAGTTGGTTCAGTTCATTGTCAGCCCTAAATATAAATAAAATATTATTTTTGTTGGAAAATAAAATATAGCGTATCTGTTTATATATAATTTAAATAATTTTCAAGAACAAATAATTTAAATAATTTTTTAGTTATAGATTTTTGTCTCGCATATGTTCTTCTATCATAAATATATATGATATATTTACTCAATCTTTTTTATAAAATAAAAAACAATTAATTGATTATAGACAAATAATTCTTCCATAATCGAATCCAAACGTCACTATTTACTTGCTCATTTTCAAAATATATACTAAAAACAAACAAAAAATCAGTAAAAAAAATAATTTTTGTAATTTAATAATTCACTTTTTATGTTAAAGATATTATAAAAATAATAATTTTTTGTAACTCTTCAATTAGTAATTCTTCAATAAATTATATATATTTTTGGGTATGATTTATGTAATTAATTTAATTTAACTATTCTCTTTTTTATTTAAAAGATTAAAAGATTTTGATTTAACCAATTAATTACTAATAAAAAAAATAATTCTCCTTCAAAAACACTCATTAATGACTCATTCATAAAAAAAAACCAAAATAATGTAATAAAAATGTATTATAATTAATTTATTATTATGTTAAAAATCTTTTTAAAATATTAAATTCTTAGAAATACGTAAACAGTAAATATTAATGGCATGCGTAACTTTTTCATAATAAAATAGGATGCACGCCAAAATATTCATACAAATATTATGATAATATTCCAAAATTAACCTCATAAATCAATATGTGTCATATAATCAATTTAGTTGATATTAATTTTATAATCAATGCTGAGTTTTTTTAGTTTAACTATTAGTGATGATATAAACAATATTGTTGTGTGTGAAAACAAAATTGATTTGCTTTGTAATTGTTTTAATAATAAATTTTATGATTTGATTGTTACTATAAGTATTCTCCATTAATAAATAACCACCAAATGGTGGGACAGTGTAAAGAGCGGCCAAGAAGCGAGATATCCAAGAGGTTGCCCTGATCCTTGGGAAATTGAAAATTAACTGTGAAGAGTTAGAAATAAGTCTAACCCTAAAAAGTGTAAATAAAATATTATTTTCATTGGAAAAGAAAATATAGCCTATCTCTTTATATATAGTTTTGTTCTGTCTTTCTCAAATAATTGAAGTGCAGTTTCTTTGTTGGTGCGTGCTCCGATGATTTTTCTTTGTTTTGTAATTTAGTTTTTTTATTACTAATAAAGTTTTCTATTTTCTTAAACAGGTTTTGGGATTTTAGGTTTTGGGGTTTGGGTTTGATGTATGAGGCAGAAAGAGATATTTGCCGGCCGATATGGAAGGAGATAGAAAACCTATGCTTTTGTATTTCACCGGTAAAACCCAAAACACTCACACCTTTTGCAGTCTATCATATCCATCCAAGTGCCATTCAACATGGAATACAGATTCCGAATTGAAGGAATCCAAGCTTCTAACTGTACAACATGGTTGGTATCTTTGGGAAAAAATTATATCAAACTATGTTAGTAACTTGTTTCTTTGGAATCCAGGTAACCTTAACAAAATCGTTCTCCCACCACTTCAACACAATGGCACTATTTTTAGTGATTGCATTTTATCATCCCCTCCATCTGCAAATCATCAAACATGCTCCATTTATTTATTTTCATCACACAACCCTTCGATATTCCACTATCAACTTGGAGATAAACAATGGACTAAAGTGTGCTTTTATGACCAAATTATGAGACTTTTGGCCATGCAGAGAAAAACTCCTTTGGATGAAAGGAAAACCTTTTTTAAGAACCCAGTTTACTGCAATGGTCACGTCTATGCAGAAATGTCGATTTTGTCCGGGTGTATTGTACTGGTTATTCAGAAACTTCAACCTAATAGTTTTACAATAAACTGCACACCGGATATCATGATAAAACATCTACCGAATAATTTTGAGCAACTTATTATAAGTCGCCTCATTGCATGCAACAATGTATTATTTCAACATCTACAGGATAATTTTGAGCAACTTATTATAAGTCGCCTCATTGCATGCAACAATGTATTATTTCAAATTCAAGTTTTCAAAGAGGAAGGATGGGTTACTGCAGTTTATGTTTTCAAATTTGATTGTTCTCAACAGGTGTGGGAAAAAGTGGAAAGTCTCAAGGATAAAGTGTTCTTTATATCTAGTCTTGATTCAACTTTTGCTTGTCAAGCAATCAATCCAGAAACTGAAGGAGGCCGTATCTACATCGCCCTACAGAACTACAATTTTGTCTTTATTTACAACATTCAAGACAATTCTATTGTAATTTCTCAAGCTTTCTCCAATCTATCAAACAAAAGGTCTTATTCAAGATGGGTCATGCCACATACAGGGTAACTATTTTGATACATTTGTCCTATATATATTTGGGCTATTTTTAATTTTATTATGTTTTGTAGGATGGCTGATACGTTCAAAGAAGAAATAGGAAAATTTCATCAAATTAAAGAAAAGAAAAGCATATGTGATGTAGAGTATTTAAAGGATGCAGAGGATAAAGCTAACAATGTATCTGTACTTTCTCCAGACCTGGTTGAAGTGATTGCAAAACATATTAATGATGTGCTTGATTATTTGCATTTTCGAGCTACCAATAAATTCTTTCGTCTCGCTGCACCACATATTCAATGCAGATCATCTTCTTCAATGTCAAGGTTTGATGATCGCTCCATGTGTCCTTTATTTGTGTTCTCAAAGGAAAAGGTCTTCACTTTTGTGAATCCGAAGCATGGCCTCGAGTTCAAATACAACATAAACTTTCCTCAATATTGGAGCTTGAATTCAAAAATTTGTTGTTCAAAAGATGGTTGGCTATTACTGGTGGCAGTTAACAATGGCATAGAATCTCAAGGTTTCTTCAATCCCTTTACAAAACAAGTCCTACCACTTCCAATTGGGTATAAAGCATTCAGGAATGACAGGTGCGTTGGCATGTCACATTCCCCGACCTCTTACGAATGCGTTGTGGTTGAGTTTGATAAAATATCATCATCAGTTCCCCTTATGATATCATGTGTACATCACCTTGGGGACAACGTTACTGGCTTTTTCGTACTTGAAGACGGGGAACTTCCTCTCTGCAACGTTAGTCCCGCTTTTCATAACGGATCATTTTACTTTCTTACACTAACAAGAAAGTTAGCAGTAGTAAAGGTATCAAGAGAAACGTATACTTGGAAAGAACTTGAGGAGCCTCAAGCTCCACGTAGCAGTTACTTCAAAAACTTTCTAGTTGAATGTGATGGCAATTTATTGGCAGTATTTGAGAGTCATTTTGGATATGGAGTTCAAGTTTTCAAGTTGAATGAGTCTACAATGACATGGATAAAAGTTGAAAGCCTAAAAAATCACATGCTTTTTGTTGGTAAAACATCATTTTCTGCTGTGGCAAGCATTCCTGGAATGGAAAACAAAATTTATTTTCCTAGATTTTATGGCCAAAATCTGGTGTTTTATTCTTTGGAAACAAACAACTACCACACATTCCAACATGATCAAGTGGTGAATTTTGATCATATGAGAGAACACTTGAGTGGTACTTGGATTCAGCCAAGATGGCATTAAGTTTAAGCTCTCAATGACTAATTTTAAGAGTTAGAATTCGAGAACATGTGTGTGTGAGTTTTGTCATTTTGTTTACATTCCAAAAAAGATATGGCTGCAATTTTTCTCTGTATTTTTTGGTTTTGTTGTTTAAGGAAACGTTGATTTACTAGTTTTTTCTGTCATTTTGGTTTTGTTTGTATGTCACCCTATGGTTTCTGATTTGAGTATTCATCACCATCATCATTGTCTGAGTTTAATATTCATCATTATTATTCTCAAACTATATTGAGAAAATGCATTATTATTCTCAAATTTCTGGCAAAAGGCCATTTAACAATCATAGTGGAGTGGTTTATTTTTGGCAAGTTAGGAAAATGATGGACTATTTTTGACCGATGCTTACAGTTTTGAGGACCGGTTTATTGCTTTACTCGAATTGAAATTTCTTAAATGTAGGAATAAGAAAGTTGCTAGCGTATTTTGGCAGACAACTTGTGTAATGCATGTTAATTAGTATGCCTGTAGTCATGATTGTAGATTTAAAAGCTGCGGGCGACAACGGCAAAAACATGAGGGCATGATAGAGTATGGAATCTGACGATTATCTGATGCAACACCAGTTGGACTTATGGTTTCTATGTAAGCATAAAGAATGTCCACACTGGTGCACTGATATCGGGCTGAAAATCAAAACCAAAATCATGATATTGGTTGGATGGAATTAGGTCCCCTTGATGAGAGTGAAGCTATTATTGGAGTTGGTTTTACTTCCACTTTAGTTTTTGCCTTACTCATGTAAGCCACGGGGTACTTCAATTTAAGTTTGAATGAGCCAAAAGAAAGATAAATTACTTGGTGGCTTTGATGTAGGAATGAATTAATTCAGGATATGTGTAATTGATAAGTGAAGTTGGCAACAAGTATGTAGTTGTTAATGTCGTCCCCCACTTGTTTTGAAAATTTCCATAATAACATAATCTTGACATATGAAACACTGAAAAATAACAACATAATGCTGAAGTAAATATATGACACAAGTCTTCACCTTTCTCCAATTTGAATAAGGAAACTAGGTTTTACTTTTTCAATTGGCTAGTTCCCATAACCTTCCAGCTGTAAAAAGCAAAAAAAGAAAAAGTGTTTTTAAAATTGTGTATAGTAGACGAGGTTCAATCTCACCTGAATCATAATTTATAATAGTGATTAAATGTATGATGGAACCAACATATTCAGCATGAGGGATTCAATCTTTTCACACCTGCTTTTTGGAAGGCTGAGTACGTAATTCTAAATGCTGTGAATGATAATCAACACGTAACAATGATTTTAATTAGGTCAACCTTCATCATCGAATTAAACGCTAGAGGTTAAACACCCTCATTGACTTTAAAAATAACACTAGAAAATCTTTCAAGATTACATATTTGAATAAATAAAGGTTTGTTTATCAGATTCTAAAGGCTGTATGATAAGTGTAATACCTCAAATTTTATCTTCAGATTAATCAATTTATGTCGCATGACATCTTATTTTTTGCATCAACTAACTACTAACGGGTTACGTATTTTGTTTATTTTTGCAGGAATTACATGAGGTGCACTTTAACTGTGAAAAGGGCAAAACAATCATTTACACGTTTGCTGACAGTCCTTGAAGCTGAGTTATCATCAGGGATTTATTGAATAATTAGAGACTCCGTCTCCGAGTATCCTATTTTCTTTGAGGATAAATAGAGATTCACGGTAATTTCTGGCATCGGGATTTTCGAGATACAGTAATTAATTCACGGACCGAGACTTTATTATCAGCAAATTTCGGAGACGTTGTTTTATCACATGGACTTGATTATGTTGAGATGTCAATTTGGTTCGGCTCAAGTTAATGCAAAAATCCATTCAGCGGAATTTGGTTTTAACAGGCGTTTATTTTCTGTTCTTCTGCTATCTGCTAGTCAATTCTTAAACTCAAAGCAGTGGAAATTTCGATTCATGTTCGGGCTTATGATTTCTGTTTAATTGTGATGTTGGGCCGAATAAGTTCAGGACATTGGATTTAGTTATCAGGGACGCAAATTGAATTTTTGAGGCGGAGTATACTTTTGTCTTCACTATTAATCGAATTTCTCTGTTTCTTTTCTTTTCTACGTCGTTCATGGTCATCATTGATTTTATCATCAGGCGTGACTTAATTTGGGAATATATTGGAAGAATTGAAGTTCATATCAGTTATGTGGAACAGTACGTATTGGAGTGACAAGGTTGATTCGACTGATATTTGAGATTTATTCATGATGAATTTGTATGGTGAACATGGTTCAAGTTCAATCGGATTAATTTTTGGTCGTTGGAATTTATGCGAAGGTATTTGACCGTTTGGATTGAATCTAATATTTAAGGTGGATCGATCGGTTGCGACAAAATTAAATCATGGAAAGGAGATTGAAAATTGATCTTGATAGAAAATATTTGAATTTTATTCATAATATTTTTTATTATTATTACAATTTATAAGGAGTAAATGATTTTGAATAAAAATATTGTTGAATTTTTATTCATAAATATTTTTATTACAAATTACAAAGAAAATTAAAATATACATTTTTCTTGAAAAATCCTAAATTCCTAACATTCTTCATGCTTGATTTCTCCGACTGTCTTCATGCCCGATTTTCCTTTCGTACCTGCACACGATAAAAACATAAATAGAGAAAAAAGGTAATGTTATTTTCAACACCTTCAGAGTGATTTCATCATCGGGTGTCGGGAGGGTAACAGATTTCTCCGTCTCCAGCTCCCAAACCGATTCCCGACCTCGATACCGATAGGTAATATCCGTTCTATTTTTCGGGACAGCCGAGAAGAAGAGAAAAAAAAGTTTTAGCCAAAAGTGATTTTTATGTCGAAAAAGAGATTATTTGAGCCAAACAGGTCACTAATGGAATCAAATCCGATTCTATCAAGTAAACTAATCGGATACCCAAATCAAATCCGAACCCGGATTCACGGCAACAAGATCCAGAGTCAAAAATCCATTTTTCATCAGGTAAATAACATGGATATCTGTTTCTAGATCCATAACAAAATTAAATCCGCAGCCCAAATATGGATGACAAACCGAATCCGAAAAATGAATCCAACACCTGAAAGGACAGAATCCAAATCCATATCAGAGAAAATCAAATCCATAGTCTATATCAGAATTAACCACATCACAAAATCAGAATCTCATCAAAATCTCCATCATCAAAAGTAACGTAAAAACAAGTATCCAAGCCCAAACGAAGATCAAAACGAGGTATAAAATAGAGATGAAGAAAAAGATACAAAACCCTAACAGTGACAAGAATAAAACGACAACAAAACCATAGAACAAACTCACCAAGAAAACAACGACAGCCGCGAGAGACGAGAGTTCAGAGAACTTCGTGGAAGTCTTCATCATCACTCTGGATCGAAAGAAGAAGGGGAATTCGAAGTACTAACGGAGGGTATCGCCGTCGTCACCACCAAGAACCACAAACCAAACCAGAAAGACCGCCAACGCCGTCCGTTGAAAACGGCGAGCAATCAAACGGAGGCCTCAGAACACCATCGAAACGTAAGCGACAAGTTCATTTATTCTGTGTTTAATGTTGTTGGTTTTTTTTCAGAGTATCAGGAAGAAGAAGAATAATAAATGCGAACGAACAACCATGAAAGACGAAGAGGATTCCGCGAGAGAGAAGAGAGAACGTTTGGAAAGACATGCAAAGCCGTCGCTGAAGTAATTGAGTGTTTAGGGTTAAGACCCTAAAAACTCTCCTTTCCCATTTTGAGTGCATATGGACCGGCTTGGGTCCGGGAGTGGTGACCCGACCCAACCTTTTGTTTTTGTCTTATTTATATTTTTTTCTATTTATTTTGTTTTTATAATTAATTTAATAAAAATAAAATAATGTAAATAAATATTTCATTTTTAATGTTTTTCTTAATACTTAAAAAAATAAATAACTTTTCTTTTATTAGTTTGAAACATCTTTTCTTTTTTAATTTAATTAAGCTAACCTTTTAATAATTGAAAACTCTCTAAAATTTAAAATTAAAATATTTTTCGAAATATTAAAACTAAAAGTTTTTTTTGATCAAAAGTTAAACCTTTTCTTTTTATATTAAAATTAATTTTTTAGAATTAATCTTTTGTAAATAGTAAATAAAATCTAACGTAAGCTTTTGCTTCTTAAAAATAAAAATAAAAGTAAATAAAACAAATAATAAAATTGTAGTTCTTTTTTTTTTTTACGACATTTATTATTTTATTATTTACCGTGGGTTTCTGCATAACCTCTTTTCAATAACATTCGCTTTTCTCCTCCTCAGGTTCTATTTAAACTCCGATTAATATTTATTTACCATATTTGTATTTGTTTCTCGTTTGTAATTTTGCGAGGCAATCGTCACACTATTTTTTCCAGTACTTTATATTTCATTACTGTATATTTATTCATCTTCCATCGCGGTTCATATTTATCATTAATTCAATCACCTTCCGAACGATTAGGTCTAGCAGTTTGACTGCCGAGTCAATAACCCTAACCTTTGACGTTTTCAAAACCCTAATAGCCCAAGCGTCCCGTCGTGGACATTTTTACCCTTTACCTTAGCATTAGGTCAAAGAGTCGCCGTACTCTGTTTTAGGGTTTCCCGCCGTGGAATCCCTAATCTAACCCTAATTTCAACTTACAATTTCAACGTAGAGATTGGAGTCTCCGCACTCCACGTAAGCGTGTCCTTAAGATACGTTTATTCCCCATTGAAACTTTGACCATAGTCAAGACGTTTCTAACCTCCCTTTCGAGGGGAACTACAATTACTCTGATTCCATTCCCGTCAGGATATGTAGGCACAAGATGCAATGTCTTGCCGAGTAAACTTAGGACTAACCCTTAGGTCTTTTCCTTAACTTTTAATCCCTTTGTATATACCTTAAAATATAATAAAGCAAAATAGCAAAAATGAACAAAAGGTTCCTGTAGAGTACTA